ATATACAAGGCATTAACAATTTTTTTTTTAATTTTAAAAACCTACATCAAAAAAACAAATATAAAAGCATTACCTAACCAGCGGTTTACTACTAATTTGTTAAAATATCTAATCATTTTTTCAAAAGATGCAAAAGTCAAAGAAACAGTAATGAACTTTATCAAAAAAAAACAAGATAAGTCAAAGATCTATATTATATATAATAACATCGATTTTTTTTAACAATAAACATGACACACTGAATGTAAGTGTAATATTTTACCTATTTTCTATAATTCTGTGAACTTGTTCTTGTCCCTTTTCAAGTAAGAATTTTTTCTATTTCTTTTTTAAGTTTTGGTAACGAAGATATTTTTTTTATTTCATCAGGTAATGTAACCGACTGGCGGGATACGAATAGCATCTTTGTCCTAGTTTTTTGGTAGACAAAAGTCTGTTTTTATTATGAATTATTTTTGAAAATTGTTTTTTCTAAAACCTCAAGTTTTGCTAAGCGAACGGATGGAGCTCCACCCCAAGCTAATAAACTGTATCACAATCTAGTCTCCACCAGAGCTTGGTAAATCATTTTCCAGATAATTACTTGATATTTTATTTTGAATAACAGACATCCCAAGTTCAAGGTAATATGATCAACATGATAAATCCATTTCATGTGCGAATCCAAAAGTACGCCCACATATTTGATTTTGTTAGTAGATTCTATTTTGATGATTTCGTGAGTACTTTCTGGATTTTGTTTTATCTCAATAGCAGTATAATCAGGAAGCCTTCTTTTATCATTGAAAAACGGCATAAACATCGTTTTTTGGTAATTTATAGTGAGGCATTTATGGTTGAACCAATCAGAAATTGTATACCACGACCATTCATCTGAATAAAGAATAGCGGTGTTATCAGCAAAACAAACGACAGCTCCCTCTATTTGTAAAGCTGTTCACGAAAAAGTTAAATAACAAAGGACTCAAAACTGTACCTTGAGGTACACCGCATATAATTGTTTGTTCTTCACTGAAAGTGGAATTTATCTGTTTTCTTCCCTCAAGATAACTTTTCAATATATTTAATGCACTACCTCTGATACCAGAATCTTGCAAAACACCCAGCAGCTGATTATGGTCTACTGTATCAAATGCTTTTGCAAGATCCAGCAAAACACACAGATCTGGCTTGCTTAGTGAGCATAGTGAGCGTAATGGGTCTATAATTTGTAACTTCTAAAGGATCGCCTGTCTTGTGTATAGGTTTGAAAATATCTGGACCCATCTTGTATACTTAGGTTTATTAAAAAGCTTAATGTTTTAGAAATTACATGTGTGACTTGTTTTACTAACTCAGCCCAAATACCATCGAAACCAGGGCTTTGTTTTTTTTAAGGGTTGTATAATGTTTAAGAGCTCATTTTCCGAGACAGGTTCAATGAGTTAAGCAAGTGTTTTTTAGGTGGTTTGTTGGCGTCTGGTTTACGAATTTTATTTGACAGCTTTTTTCTTATGTTAGTTAGTCATTAAACGTATTTGCTATGTCTAAGTCGGTATCCAATGTTTCATCAACAATATTGATTTTACTTATATTACACTGATCAACAGCCAAAAAATATCCTCAATAAAATCAACAAAATATTACTATTTTTAATGTGCTAAAACCGGAATGAAACTTATTTTTTCAATATTAGTTCAAGTTTTAGAGATACGGTAATTATATGTGTTCCTGCTGTGACAGTGTTAATATACTGTAATTCACAAGAATGCACGTGCTACATTTTTATATTCGGCAAGGAAAGATGATGTAATCGGCATGATTGTGTTACGTTATACATACGTGTACATTATATTGTTTTATATTAGCCATTTTTTCCTCAGTTGGCTGACAGCGTTCATGCAAGATGTCTCGAAAGTGTGTAAACAATCCAGATCAGTTTTGTTACGTGTGTGGTGATGTGACTTTTGCGTCTCAGAGACGGCCTATTACTCCACTAATAACAAAGGCATATCAGCTTTATTTCGGTTGTAAACTAGGTGATCAAGACAAACAGTGGGCACCCCACATCTGCTGTAATACATGTGCTTCAAGTCTGAGGAGCTGGTTAAATGGCAAAAAACGGTCTATGCGCTTTGCTGTCCCAATGGTTTGGAGAGAGCCTACAAATCATATTAATGATTGTTACTTTTGCATGGTACCTTGTGTTGGACAAGCCACAGGTATGTCCAAGAAAAAAAAATCGGTTATTAACTACCCAAACATACCATCTGCGATAAGACCTGTGCCTCACAGTGACGAAAATCCTATTCCAAAACCCCCAGAATCCTACACTTGCGAATCAGAAAACGAATCAGATCATGGCGATCGAGTGATTCGTCAGGAAGAAGATATGCCATCAACGTCAAGAGATCCTGATTTTATACCGAGCACGTCATGCCACCAACCGCACAAAATAACACAGTCAGAATTAAATGATCTTGTAAGAGATTTAGAACTTCCAAAATGTAAGGCAGAGTTACTTGGATCAAGACTGCAGCAGTGGAACTTGTTAGAAGACGATGTTTCGGTATGTGTTTTTCGTAAACGCCACAAAGACTTAGAACCATTTTTCAATATGGAGAATAACTTGGATTTCTGCAGTAATATTAACGGCTTACTGGCGGCTTTAAATATAAACTATAACCCAGAAGAATGGAGATTGTTTATAGACAGTTCAACATTGAGTTTAAAGGCAGTGTTATTGCATATTGGAAATATTTTACCATCTCGTCCTGTAGGGTATGCAGTTCACATGAAAGAATCATATGACAATATGAAGTACCTATTGACATGCATAAAATACGATGAGCACCAATGGCATATTTGTGGCGATTTGAAAGTTGTTGCACTTTTACTTGGGCAGCAGCTAGGCTACACAAGGTTTTGCTGTTTTTTGTGTGAATGGGACAGTCGGGCAAAGGCACTTCATTACACCAGACAAAACTGGCCTGTTCGTCAATTCCTAGAGCCAGGTCAAAAAAATCTACAGCATATGCCATCAGTAGATTCGAAAAAAAATTTATTACCACCACTGCATATCAAGTTGGGCCTAATGAAAAACTTTGTCAAGGCATTAGATAGAGATGGGTCAGCTTTTCAATACCTGCGTCAGAAATTTCCAAGACTAAGTGAGGCAAAGGTTAAAGAAGGTATTTTTGTTGGGCCACAGATTCGAAATATTTTGAAAGATACACAGTTTGAAAACACTTTAACAGGTATTGAAAAAACTGCTTGGAATGATTTCCGTCTGGTGGTCACTAATTTCTTGGGAAATAGAAAAGCTGACAACTATAAAACCCTTGTCAAAAATATGCTGTCATCGTATCAAAAGATGGGCTGTAATATGTCTCTTAAGATACATTTCCTACACTCACACCTGGACTTTTTTCCTGACAATTGCGGAGCCGTAAGTGATGAGCACGGCGAACGTTTTCATCAGGATATTTCAACAATGGAAAAAAGGTACCAGGGAAAGTGGAATCCTTCCATGCTTGCAGACTACTGTTGGACTCTTGGTAGATATGCTCCAGAAACGATCCATAACAGAACAGCAAGAAGACAGCGCATATAGTGATTCTTATAAGTATATGAATCTTGTTACTTTTTTTAATATATCCTTAAAAATAAAGTTTTTTTTCTAAACCGCAACTAATTTTTTTATTTCATTGTCATTTTTGGATTCAGCGCCCCAAAATTAACAAAGAAGTGCACTTTTCCCACAAGATACAATTAAAAAACTAAAATTTGTTATCCATTGTTATTAGGCGGTTTTTCGGAAATGCAATTTTTTCTACCATTTCCCACATGACTTTCCAATTATTTTTATTCCAAACAAGTTTTTTAGTGAAATGCTACTTAGCTTTTTTGATCAAAGTAGATAACTTATTTTTATACTTTAAATATTCTTGCTTCAATTGATCGGTTTTATTTGCTTTATATAGCTTATATTTCTCCTCTTTATTATTAATTGATGGCACAATGCCTTTTGTTACCCAGTCCTTTCTTGGCGTTTCATTTATTTCCAGTTTTACTATTTTGTGTTGTTTTTTATGTTATCCCTAAAAATAGCCATGAAATAACTTGCAGCTTCATTAACTTTTTTTGTGTTATAGAATAGATCAACAAATTCCTTATAGGTTCTTTTATAATATTTTTTTTTATTTATTTCAAGACATTCTTATTTATGCCGTTGCATAGTCTTTTGTAATATCTGCTTTGATTACATAAGCACATCATCCAGACGGGATTTCTTTTTTTTTGTCTTACAAAAATATGGTCTAGGTTCTAGGCAACTAGATAATGTTCCAATTTCTCTAGTAGGCATGTCAATAAGTGAATGCAGGTGGAATTCGTACAGCATGTTTAGATAATCTTGCACCAGCATGTCGTTCTCGTCCAGTACATTAATATAGATATCGCCAGTGAATATACAGTGGTTGATATTATCCATTGATTTCCTCAGTCCTTCAGATCGATAATGAATTGTCTTAACATCAGTGGAAGGTGGTCTATATTCTGATATAATTAGTACTTTGTCTCTTTCTATATTCATAATTACTGCGAGTCCCGTACATTCAGTAAAGTGCGTAACTTTAGAGAATATATGGTTTTTATCAATATATAACACCATCGTTTTGGTTTAAATTTGCCTAATTATAGATAATATTACTTATAACCATCCATTAAAAAAAAAAACGAATGTCTGGAATACGCCACGTTTCGGTTAAAGTTATTAAACTTATGCTGTAAAGATGTAAGGCATATTTTCAATTCATCAAAGTTTTTTGTTAAGCTTCTTATATTTTGGTGGAATATACTGAAATACTCCTCGACTAGTTCATCAAATTCTAGAAAGTTATTCAAATCTCTACTTTCATAACGGTTGTAATTGACATCACTAATGTATTGACTTATATTCGAAAGTGACCCTTATGTAAATAAATTCTTATCAGTTTATCGAGAAAAGATGCTATACGTACCAACGTTCTGCAAGAAGACCTCAAAGTTCACACAATTAGTCAAGTAAAATAAAACAATTTTAAACTATGTTTACGTTGTTTTAAAGAATTTACACGCGCACACACAAACACTGGACACTAATTTTTTTTGCAAGGGAGTCAAGTCTGTATACACAGAAAAAGGTGACACCAAACATTATTTTTTCTGAGACCTGGTATATATCTTCAAAACTTCTTCTCATCAATTTTTATTTTTTTATTTTCCGGCTTTTGTCCGCCTGCGACTTTCACTGGGCCCAGGGCCTATCCTACGGGGCGTCAGGTATCGAGTTTCTTTTTCTGAAGCCGCTTGTTGTGCGGATTTTATAATGGTTCGTACCTCCTTTTGCACGTCCAAGGCAGCATATTCTTGTTGTTCAATAGTTACACCCTGTTTATGTATCTTAGCTTGCAAATTGAGGGTTCTTGCTAATTTGAAATACGACACTAGTATATTTTTATCGGCGTCAGTGAGATCTGGTGCAATATAGATACCACTGCCTCTCAGCTATTTGATTTACTCCACCATCAAAGGCCTGATCATTCCCGCAACTGATCGCCCCAACCTATAGAAGTCTCTAAAATCGGAAGATTTGCATTCCAGCTCCAGTTTTTTATTTACAATGGTAACCAGCTAATCCAAGTCTGCGGACTTGCTATTTTCCTTTTTAAGATCATAAAAGTTATATTTTTTAGTTTTACGTTCCACCGATTTGACCTTCTCTTTTAGTTTTTGATTCTCTTGTTTTAGAGCAGTGATTTCTTCCCCTAGTTCGTGGTATTGTTTTGCGTAATCTTCCTTTAAATTCTGTATTTCACGAGTTAGTGCCTTGATTTCCTCCTTTATTTCAGTATTGTTGGCCAATATGAGGATATAGAGGTGCTTTATCGTGATTTCTGGTGTTACCTCCGCCATCCCATTTATTTTACTCGTAAACCCAGTAACAGTAAAAAAACTGAGCTACTAGTCCTTGTATTCTCACAGAATGTGTCGCAAAAAAGTGACGCTGCTTCCATATAAAATCAGGAAGATTTCAAGTAACTTTGTTTAAGCAGATTGCATGCAGGTCTCACTTCACAGAATTGTTAACTGCACTTATTACTAATATTTGCACGAAAATTCCAAATTTTTTGGCCACTTTTTACCACTCAAAACTATGAATTTTCAACAGAGCTCCATACACGACACATATCACACCAGTGGCGTACTTTATTTCTCATCGGTTATAACATCCTTCAATGGACCTAGCAAAGGAAATCGTTATATCCGGTTTTCGTTGTAAGCGATAGTGTCTTCTTTTTTAGTTATTTATATAAAGGTCAATTCTATGAATGTAATACAAAAGGAAACACGTAAATTGAACAAGATGATTAATTTAGAACATCTCAAGGCTTTAAAACCAAAATAAGTAGGTATTGATGTTAGTACCTATATACAACAGTAACTAAATTAGAAAACATTATGTATTATCATACATATGTGAGAAACATGAAAACAATGTATTGGCTTACTCACAAAGAACATGGCTTATTTTTCGAAAAAGTCAGTAATTTTCGATTGTTTTTTACATTTATCAGTTTGGTATGCACATTGAAATTTCCTTATCCTTAGATTTCAAACATTCCCGCTTTGAAGGGCTGCTAAATTTCTCATTAAAAATTAGAAATTTTTGTTGAGTACTGTTGAGACTAATATTCGATTGCCGAATGAAGACAAAACAAATATTGTGTAATATTAACGAGTTTTAACCGGAAACAGTGACGGTTTGTCGCTTTGCCGATATTTTCGTTAAGTGGACGATGATAAAAACGTCGCTTTGAGGGATGTGTCGTTTTAACCGATGTCATTTTATACGGTTTTCTTATGTACAGGAATAAGTATAGTTTCGCCGATAAATGTAAACTTCTTCGTATAATCTGATAGGTCGTTATATGCGATGTTGTTCTAAACGATTTCTACTGTATATATATATATATATATATATATATATATATATATATATATATATATATATTATATCATTTTGACTACTTGGAAAATTTTAAATAATCAAATGACTTTTATTACTGAATTGAGTAAATTTGTTAAATGACCAGTTCGGCTGTGGATTGGAATAGCAGTTTATATTTGTTTTGATTACCTTACATGATAACATACAAGTTCTTGATACATTGTAGATTTGGACATATACTTGATAAGTTGCAGTTGTTCAATAACGAAAGTAGTACTTGCTATTCGAATCTTTACGCCAGGCCTGGCCACGTGCCTCATTCCCCTTGAACGCGCTATAGAGTAGTTCAGGGGGAAGGATGATCACATAATGTAATCGAGTGTAATCGGTACACTTTGACAGAGTGGGAGAACCGCGAGCATACATTATTTTTTCCAACTGAAGTGTTTTTTTTTATTATTCTTATCTTTATTGTTAATACTTACTAATAACCCGTATGTATCACTGTAAATAATATGAAAAATATTAAAAATTAATTTAAAAAAAAATCCTTTACGCATTAGTTATTTGTTCACAATGCAATCATTTTGACTGCTTTCTGGCAATAAAGGTATATACTAAGTTTCAGTCGTTCTAGTATTAATTAAGGATGTGTTTATGTTAACCTTGAAAAAAAAATATTCCTGAGTAAGATTACCTCCCGCCACTCCGTTCCTCTTACATACCAACATTATTTTTTTATAAATTATATGTTTCAAGAAGTGCTTTTCAGTAATCCTACTGTATTTTTCAGTACCAGTTCCAGTTTCTGTCTCCCAGCCATATGTTTCAACATTAGATTTGCAGAACAAACATGGGGGATTAGATTTGCAGCAATACACTATTTTCAAATATGAGTATTCCGGTCATGGACAACATCGTTCTAGCAAATGGCTGAAAAAATACAGGTGAGTACCTCCATAAAGCATTTATTTTAACACTGTTGTAAAGTTTCTCAGGGTATTTGATTATATTTTTCACTTAATCTCTTTCGATACTACTATGGCAAAAATAAGCAAGCATTGGACACGAGACTGCCTATAGCCGTCATGCCAAAATATACATATTGAATGTAAGTCATTCATATCTCCCATCCAAGAAATTCTATCTATTCCCAAAAAATCCAAGTCAAAGGAAACTATGGCACAATGCCTGTGGATTAGCTTCTAATACAAAATCTGATAACTTCTATATTCTTCAATATTCTATTGTCAGATCATGTTTCCCTTCACGATCCCTATTCACTTCTGAACTGTCTTGCAGTTCTAAAAGACATTGGTCAAATTCTTGAAGCACTGTTCTCATTACAGTTGTATGTTCATTTCAAGGAACAGGACAACAAGCAGAGACCAAATTTGAGGCACTTTTTTTTGAACCAAATAGAATACTTTTTTTATAGAAAAAACATGTTGTTATTGAAAGTTAAAGAAATCTACAAGAAGAGAATACAGTCAAAAGAAACTAAAAATGTAAAAACTAATGACAAAAAATATTTTTTTTGCGAAAGTGACAAATTCGACACTTTAAAATAAGGGTCCGTATGGTATCCTAATTTGAGATAGGATCCTAATTTGAGACAGCGCTTAAATTTATTCGAAAAACACTTCACATAAAGAACACAAAAACGTGCCAGATGTAAGTTCTCCACAATCTTCATGGGCCCATCTACTACACCTTACGCATTTGGACCACTTCTCGCCTTGTTGATCCGCCGACAACTTGCCCATGCAAAATAGACATTTGGCATCACTGGACCGCTCTCGTCTGATGAAGAATCAGCAAACTCCATATCACTAGCTTCACTTTCTGAAGAGCTTGACCATTCTGTTTTTCTTCTATTATTTTTCTTTTTTTTAGGCTGGGTGGATTGGGCTTGTTTACTCTTTTTTGTGTTAACTTTTTTTTCATTTGCTGATCTTTTTCATTTGCTTGTATCCTTTTTTCTTTTTCTTGCTTTTTCGATACACTTTCTTCAAGCTCTTTTTGTATGGTGTTGAAGTGATAATTGCTGCTTTTGCAGCTCTACTATTTTTACGATTTGTATTTTGAGTTTTCATCATCGGAAGGGGACAAATATCCTTAGGGGATATAAGTGGCTCTGTTAAAGTGGGCGTTGGGCTGGGTGTTCTTCCATTTTCTCTTTGTACCATAACCATTGGAGTAGGTGCTCTTTCATTATGGATCACTGGGCTTGGTGTTCTTTCTCTTTCTATCCTTAAATCTTAATTCAAAATATTTATGGCATTGTAATCCTCTTGCACTACCTGGGCCGCTTCATTCTGCTCTGAATCTTGAATCTCGCTGTCATTTTCGTGTAGGTCCTCCTTATTCTGATTCTGCTCGTTGTTATCAATATTTTCTTTATCCTGAAAAGCAAATTCATAATCTTGAACAACTTGACGATAAAGAGGCACCAAACCTGTTTTTCGAAAGCCTTTTGCGGAAACCTTCATTGTTGCAGCCTTATTGTATGCTTTACAAAAAATAGAAGCCAGTGCGTAATGTGTTTTTAAAGGAGACATGAACCCAACGTCCAAAGGTTGCATCTTATTAGTGCAATGCGGAGGGTGGCAAACTATAATCCCATGATTTTCTTTGGCCAAGTCTATAAGCAGAATATTTCTGGTGTGAGAGTAGTGGCCATCTTAATAGCAGAAGAACTGGGTCCTCCGCAGTTGGCTTTGTATATTTTATAAAATGTTGAAGTCATCTGGTACATATATCCGCTTGTACCCAGCTGGATGGATGACTTTCGCCAACAGATCCCTGAGGGCTGCTAAATTTCTCATTAAAAATTAGAAATTTTTGTTGAGTACTGTTGAGACTAATATTCTATTGTCGGATGAAGACAAAAAAAATATTGTGTAATATTAACGAGTTTTAACCCGAAAAAGTGACGGTTTGTCGCTTTTTGCCGATATTTTCCTTAAGTGGACCATTATTCTTCTTTATTCCTTTTGGCTTCTGTACACGTGTACAATCCGCCAGCTCATTTGTTGTGACTGTACTTTGTCTGGCTCTCGGCCATGTACGAGTCACTGTATTGTCTCGAATTCTAGTGTAGAAATGCTGTAAAATATATCTATATCTTCTGTTGTATTATTTCTAGAGCTGGGATGTTGCTATTTATGTTTGATGAAAACTTTTACTTATGCTTTCTAAAGTGGTGTGGGGAGGTTAGTCAGACAGATAGCACAACACAGGTATAGACTTTTCTCGTACCCGGGCAACGGAGGTACATTAACACACCCTAAATGTTGTCTTGGAAAAGGATTAGCACACAGGGTTTTAAATGATGGGGATCTCAAACAGTTATAATATTATTTTGTTTGTCTGAATGAAGTAGGTTAATAGGTATATGGCTTTCATGTTGATATTTGCAAGTATTAATTGAATGTTGAAGGGGGCTTTTTCTTATCTCTTCATATAGATTAAAACCTAATATTTGAGTTATTGGGCAGTCAATTAGTATATGATTTAAATCTGCATATTGTCCACAATCACAGAAAGCGTCATCTTCCATTCCTATTTTGAACATGTGAGCTTTATGTCTTGCATGTCCCGTTCTCACTCTGATTATAGCTGTTAGGTGTCTTCTGTTTATTATATTTTGGAGTAATGTGGTTTGACCGGGAATTCTTCTTGTATTTTCTTATACCACCTGCCTTTGTTGATGAATGTTCGTTTCCACATTGTTGTGAATTTATCCTTTATTTTTGTTTTGGCCTTAGTTAGTATATTGGGTATGGTAAGTTTCGTATCTTGTGGGATTCTGAGTTGTCTTCCTAAGTTAGTTAGGGTGTCTGCCGTTTCATTTCTTCTAATGTTGGAGTGTCCTGGGATCCAAGCCAGTTCAATATTGTATCCTTTTTCTGCAGCTTCGTGAATTAGCTTTCTTGTTGTGAGGCAGCCATATTCTGAGTTAGCATCCACACCTTGTTTTGCTATTTGTGCTATAGCACTTTGCGAGTCTGTTAATATTAGACTTTTCTGGATTTTCTTTTCTATGACTTTGTTGCATGCTTTGTTAATCGCTGATATTTCCCCCGCGCAGATGTTTAGTAGTAGTCAGGGAGTCTGGATGTGTAGTTACAGGGTTTGTCCGGAAAGTAATAGGACTGAGTCGATTTAAAAAAATTTATTGAGCCAATCGTTACAATTCTTTAAAAACTTTCAAAATAGGCTCCTTCTGCGTCGATGCAGCGCTGCCAGCGCGATTTCCAAGCATTGAAGGCGTCACGGAAGGCATTCTCCGGAATAGCCTTGAGAGCCGCGGTGCATGCTGCTTGGATCCCCTCTGTCGTCTCAAAATGCTTGCCTTTCATCGGCCTTTTCAGGCGAGGAAACAATAAAAAGTCCGGGGGGGGCACATCTGGGCTGTAGGGCGGCTGCGGAAGCGTTGGGATGCCGGCCTTGGTCAGGTAGCTGTTCACAAGAAAGGCAGTGTGCGCCGGGGCGTTGTCGTGGTGCAACTTCCAGTCGGCTGCGATGTCTTGTCGGACCCGACTGACCCTTCGTTTGAGTCTCCTGAGCACTTCCACGTAAAACTTGGCGTTGACGGTTTGTCCAGGAGAAACAAATTCATTGTGAACGATGCCTTTGATGTCAAAAAAGACAATGAGCATCGTTTTCACTTTGGATTTGCTCATTCTTCCCTTTTTTGGGCGAGGAGACGCCCTCGTGTGCCACTCGGAAGATTGCCTCTTTGTCTCGGGATCATACTCAAAGATCCACGACTCGTCACCTGTGATTACGTTATTCAAAAATTGGGGGTCACTTTCACACATGTTCAAATTTTCTTGGCACACTTCCACTCGCCGCAATTTCTGGTTCTGGCACTTTTGGGACCATCTTCGCGCACACCTTGCGCATGTTCTGATGCTGTGTCACAATGTCATGAACACCACATATTTTGGTAAATTTAACATCTGGGCAATCAAACGAATACTTAGTCGACGGTCTGAGTCCAAAACTTTGCGCACACGAGTCACATTATCGGTGTTTGTCGAAGTCGAAGGTCTTTCAGCACGGTCTTCATCAGCGACCTCTTCCCGGCCCTCGAAAAAGGCCTGGTGCCCCCGAAACACACCACTTCTTGCTAAAGCAACACCTGGGTAAGCCTGCTTGATCATATCAAACGTCTCTGTCTCAGATTTACCGAGTTTCACACAGAATTTAATCGCGTACCTCTGCTCTAACGAACGCTGCATTTTCGGCTTGCACCACTCACAGAAACACGTCGCGCGAAAATGCCTGTCCTGACTCTTCAAGTGCTCGGAGACAACTGACCAGCCGCTCATTCGTTAGCTAGGAACGCCCTCTACCGAATCAAGTCGGTGCGCGCACGCTCCGAAGTACAGTCATGGTGGAAGAAAATGAGTCCTATTACTTTCCGGACAAACCCTGTATGTCCCAGTTGAGGAATGTGTAGTGTGTACCCCATATCCCACTTTAGATGCGTCAGTGTATATGAAGGTATGGGTGTCTCTGAACTTCCATAATTTGTAGAAATTGTAACTCGGTATTGTGATCTTTTTTGTTTATGTTAAGGGGGACGACTTTCACTGCCCGAGTTTGAGTAGAGTATAATTAAACTCGAAGCACGGGACGGCTCGTCCCGAGTGGATTAGTGGAATGTATTCCTCCAAAATGTTAAGGGCTTCTATGGTGATATTGGGCGCTCTATTCCTCCAATAGTCATGACCTGACTCATATTGATTTTTTAGTTTTTTTAATATTATGAGTAAGGGGTGGGATTGAATTCTAGCTTTTTTGGCTAGGAATTTAGTGCATAACCAGACCCGCCTGTGGTGTAGGTCCATTTCCGCGGTTTCTGCTAGTAACTCATTAGTTGGTGTTGACTTCATGGTACCCGTTATGATCCTAAGCCCTTGAAATGACGTCTTCTGAAGTTTATTGAGGTCTTTTTGATTGCAGGAATTTAATATTATGCTACCATAATCCAGATGGGATTTAACTAGTCTGTTATACGCCATGTGTAAGGTTGCAGGGTCAGCACCCCAGGAAACCCAAAAATGTTTAAAAGTTTTATTCCCCTATTAGCTTTATTTATCATATTGTCTATCTGCGCGCTCCATTTTAAATTTTTATGTAGTATGACCCCTAAGTATTTCGTTTGGTTTTTGAGCTCTATATGTTCATTGTTAATTTGAATTATTGGTGTGGACCGCATTCGGTTACCTTTTGTAAGCCATATCGCTGAACTTTTTTCCACTGATATTTCAAAGTTGTGGCTTTTCATCCAGACGTTTACTCTTTCCAGATACTCGTTTAATGTTCCCGCCATTTTGTCTATTTTGTTACCGTTGATCATCAGCGCCATATCGTCTGCGTAACTGAGTAAATGTATGTGTTATAATATTGAATATAATTTATTTATATATATATATATATATATATATATACAGGGCGGCGCATCGAAAACGAAACAGACGCATTTACTGGCAGCTCAGTTTTTTTTTTGAAAAACGCTCAGACCCGTCGATTTTGTTTTCGAGGGGGACACAAGTTTGGCAAAAAATCACGTTAACACGTGCAGCCCCCTGGGCGGGGGTGACACCAACCCTAAAATCTTAAATGGAAAGGGGGGTCGAGTGATACCTTATTTTAAAGGTCTTTCAATTCCCCAGCCACAAAAATGAAATGTTTTGACCGGTGAAATGTATTTGGAATTACTGGTTGATGTTCCAACAGGATGGTGCCCCACCACATTACGCATTACGTGTTCGACAATATTTAGATCAGACGTTTCCAGATCGATGGATTGGTAGAAGAGGTGCCATTGAATGGCCCCCAAGATCGCCAGATTTATCCTACCTTTGGATTCCTTTATGTGGGGTCATTTAAAAAGCAAAATCTATGCTACTCAGCCAACATCTTTAGAAGACCTACGCCAAAGAATTGTGAATGAGTGCCTTCAAATTACTCCTCAAATATTGCAAAATGTGCGGCAACGTTTTGAGCAAAATCTTTATTATTGCCTAACGGGTCAGTTTATTCTTCATTTTTAAATTACTTTGCTGCCAAATCTCCACTAATGATGATGTATTAGTTTTATTTAAGCTTTAAATCAATAAAACTACTGATCTGAAGTACATTAATTTTATATCATTATAAAGGGAATTGAAAGACCTTT